AGGTTTGCCTCGTCGTGGAGTATAGGAGTAAGTAATGGAGCAGTAAATTGCATCCATCCCCTCCCTAGCCTGGACCTGGACGGAGTAGTACGACGAGTCGTACCAGATGCTGATACTAGTGGCAGCCAAGGTCAACAAGACCAAACTTTTTTTTTTCACGTCTCTACTCCGTTTAAGAGCGAGCATAATATAAGGCTATAAGAAAACTAAATGCTGAGGTGGTTGAGATAGTAGAGGAGAGAGATGAGAAGCGGGCTATAGGAAAAAAAAAACCTGTGAGACAAACATATAAGCCATATATTTATAGTGAAGAGTTAACCACTATACGAGTGAGCTGAGAAATAGACTATAAAGATATACTCCTCCGTACAAAAATATAAGCATCTAGCTGTATTATTATCTTGCTCTAACTGGAATCCACGACACGCCGGCATTGCATTGCATTGCATGCAACGACGCTGCGAACAGGCGCGGCTTTCCACGTAAATAACGGTAAATTTGTTCAAAGACCAGGCTTTTCTTTCTGGGTTCCCGTGTTGGCCCGCCCGGCTGACCGGCCAGCCGGCGCCCGCTCGGCGCGCGGCATTTATGCGCCTAGCTAGCTGCAGCATGGGCCGCTCGGAGCAATAAAAACCGCATCGGAAACAGCACTTCCAGAACGTCCACAGGCTGCAGCTGCTCACATTTTTCTTTTAAAAAAAAAGATCGGGGAGATCAGCGATGAGCCGATGATTGATCAATGAATTGATGAATTCAGCCCACTGATCGAACGAGCTTGCAGCGTGGCCCGCCATGGCCAGCGAGCGAGCGACCGAGCTCGTCGCGAGCAGGAGCAGCAGCAACCAGTGGAGGCCGGCGAGAGATCAGCATGCGGCTGCAGGCTAGCCAGGGGCTGCAGCTTAGCTACTGGTGCAGTGGCTGGAGTAGTTTTTTTTTTGTGCGAGCGCATGGGCGACAGAGCTGGCTAGCGAGCTGGTAGGATTTGACTATTTGAAAGGAAGCAGTTGGACTGGAGTAGCTTCCCCAGCTTTTACTCCGGCGTAAAGTTTGCTGAATGCGTAGGCAGGGCGCGGTCTGGGTGGCCGGCTCATGGCCTCATGGCCGGCCTCCACCCTAATCTGAGTACTATCTGTGATTCTTCGCAGTTTTGTGTGCGTTGGATGGAGGAGATAGCTAGCTGCACCGGGCAGAGCTGGGTGTGCAGTTTGACCATCCAATGGCCACCCATGCATGGTTTGCGTTTGTAAGAACACGTACAAGAGACAAGGCCGGCTGCGGCTGGGTCAGTGTGGCAACCAGATCGTGGCTTTCTCTGGTCTATAGATACAGTTGTCTGGGGATTTCATCATTTAATTAACTTACATGGTGATTTTTGTTAGGAAAATAATTAAGAAGTCTATTTTACAACATGAATGTTCGCAAACGGTCGAAAACAACACTAAAACTTTCAAATTGTGAAATGATCAAAACTACTCATTTTTCCTGAAAAAATACTCACATTCTTGGTTATGTACTTGAATTTCTTCAAACAAATTCATTTTAGTTACGAGGTGTTGAGCTTCATTGGGGCGATGTGACCTTGCCCCAAGGATATTAATGTTTTTTTTAGACGAAAGGCCAGACCTAAGGATTAATGTTCTTGATGTATTTTTGTCAATTAATGTGTAAATGATTTTCCTGCACAAGATCTCGTAAGTGGTCACGTCTGTAAAAATCGTCCTCCATTTTCACGTGCGGCTCCTTAAAAGGATTGCACGGAAAAATCGATTTTCTCAGACGGGTCTCTTAACAGACCTGCACCCGGAAATAGGCTTATTTTCACACGTGAAAATAGTCTTATTTTCGCACGTGAAAATAGCCCAGCCAACTTCTTATCTCCTGGCGCGTTCCTCCCGTTCCCACTCACTCCTCCCACTCCCTCTCTGTCTCCCACTCCCACTGCCCTCTACCCACTCCCTCTCCCTCTCCCTCTCCCTCTCCCTCTCCCCCTCTACCCACTCCTGGCGATGGCGGCGGCCTCGGCTAGGGCGGCGATGGTGGCGGCATCGGCGAAGGCGACATTGGCAGAGCGGCGGCGGCATCGGCGAGAGCGGTGATGGCATCGATGGCGGCGGCAGTAGCATCGGCTAGGGTGGTGCCGGTGGAGAGGATCCATCGTCGGCCACCGCGAGGAGGGCGGATCCGTCACCGGCGACCGCGGGGAGGGCGGATCCGTCGCTGGCCACCGCGGGGACGACAGCGGCGGGTCTCAGGCAGGGCGGCGATGACGACGGCGGTGGCGGCAGCGGTCTCCCAGCCTCAGGCATTGGATTCATCGCAGGCGACCGCGGGGATGACGACGGCGGACCTCGGGCAGTCCGGTGCCGGCGGCAGTTGGGTTAGGGTTAGGGTTTTGATTTTCTTTTTTTTGTTTCAATTTTTATTTTCCCGTGCGGATGGCTTAAGCGTCCGCACGCGAAAATCCAGTTTTTGTGTGCGGGTGCGTCACCCGCACGAAAAAATCGATTCTTTGGAGACACTTTGTTGCAGACGGACGGAAGATCCGCACACGAAAATGAGTTCCGATCACACGGAAAAATCATTATTGTGGTAGTGTACTGGTCACGCGCTCGAACGGGAAAAACACTATAGATGTCGATTCTAATATTTTCGGTACCTATAATACCATTTTCTTTGATGTCTGTAGTAGGGTTTATTAATCACATGTCTTGACAAGACTAAGGACTTAAAATAAACCGCTTGATGAAGTGTAACATGGCATCAATTGAGCAGCTGTCGTCGTGTAAAGAGGGATGCCAGGTAGGCTCCAAAAGTAGCAAGTTAATTAAGGTCAAAGGGAGAACACAAATTGATGATACATTAGTACTCCACCATCAAAGCTAATTATTTGGCTCTAGCTTGTCAGTTGTCTCTTGTGAACTACGGCCATTTGAACCCAATAACTAAGATGATATTCATAGTATTAAATAAGTTGGTACTTAGGATGAAAAATAATATGACAAGTGAGTAAATGAGAAAAGAGAAGAAAACTAGGTTTTACATGAGATATGATTTCTACGCAACATCCAAAATATCATATGAGATAAGTAGCACTAAATTTAAGTATGTAAGAGTGGTGTTTATATTGAAAGAGTAGTGTCTAGGAGTACTAACTAGTTTTTTTTGATGATGTAAAGTTTATGGAAACTATGTCCAGTGACTTAGGTTAGGACTGGCCTACTGCATGGATTGCTTAATTCGCTCTACTACATGGCCACAACTCACAACTGGTAGTCCATGTGATATGCATGCATCTGCGAGCTTTTCCATCTTGATAAGGGTGAGTTTTTGTTCGGTCTCCGATCCTGGGGGCAAAGTGAGAACTGTGCATGCCATGAGCAGCGCATGTCACCTCATCTCCCTTTGGGAATGTATGCTGTATGCATATATAATTAGGCCGACCTAGTTAATTACTCCCTCCCTTTTAAAATATTTGACACCGTTGACTTTTTAGTACATGTTTGACCATTCGTCTTATTAAAAAAAATTTAAGTAATTATTTATTCTTTTCATATCATTTGATTCATTGTTAAATATACTTTCATGTATACATATAGTTTTACGTATTTCACAAAATTTTTTAAATAAGACGAACGGTCAAACATGTGCTAAAAAGTCAACTGTGTCAAATGTTTTTAAACGGAGGGAGTACATTATCTTTGGAGCTTTTAGGGAGGCTTGAGTGTGATGTTCTCCATAAGATCAAAAGCGTCTTCACCGGCCGGGCTGATTTGGCTTGTTTTATGATTACAGGCCAAGGCAAGAGCTAAACTAACCTTGTGGTCACATGCATATGCATGCCCTGCTGGGCAAAAGGAAAATAAAAGATGAAAGATAATGGTGGGGCCATGCATGCACAGGCTACCAGAGAATGGTGTGTGGTCAATGGTCAACACCCCAACTTAATAGTCAAATGAGTAGATGCAACCCTACCTGTCTAGCTTGATTAATTACTCCACTTAAGCTAGCTTGCTAGGGTGGTTGGTTTTGCATAGACAGGTCATATAGCCTATAGGCTAAGCGACAAAATGCTGTCTTAATTGGTGACCTTACTACCTAGGGTGCGACATGCTCTGCTTACTGTTGGTTTATTCGAACTGTTACTGTAGGTATGCAACTGAACCTCTGCTTCTCACATGGGTCTAACATTGTAGGAAAAAAAATGTTAGGGTAACATAAAAATATACTACTAGTAGTAATTAACCCTTAAGCCTTGTTTGGATGGGCCTCAATCCTAGTCCATGCAGGTGTTCCGTACATGGATCCATACAGCCTTGCTTGGATGGGATTTTGAACACACGTGTGGATACATGGATCAGAATTGGAGCCTATCCATACAAGATATTGGTACTGGGCCAGGATAATTTTGGGCTGTCAATCCATGTGGGCAAGGAGTTGGGCCTATGAGTCCGATAGGAAGACGCAGATCATCCCAGCTAGCGGGCTATATTAGGCGAAGCTCCATGTTTGATGATCTTGTTAGTAGCCTAAGGAACAAGTATGGGTGCGTTTGGTTGTCAGCCTTAACTATAATCTGATTATAGATAAGTTAGCGAACAAATTGCTAGTTACAAAGTGTGGTAAAGTTAATAGAAAAATTAAGTCTATGACAATGGGATATACTATTGAAAAGTTCAGACAAAAGTTATAATTAATCGTAGCGGTGAATCAAACACATACCTAATAAATTATGGCCATCAAAGGTGTGACGTGGTAAAATGTGAGCGTGAACCAAACACATACATAGGCCGTGAGAACGTTCCAGATTTAGATTGCAGAGCCCAGCCCATCTATCAGCGATGGCAAATAAATCTTTGCCGTTTTGATTAGCACACGCGCAGCATCAGAGTTGCATCTTATGATTAGCATAAGTATTACAGGTCTGAATTGTATCAGCCAAAGAACAAAGAACTATTTAAATTTCTTCTGTTTATGCACATGCAGGGCAGATGTCGATGTTGTAAGTTCATAAACGCCAGTTATATTCCGTCGATCAAGAACATACATGGGTCAATTGATTTCTCAAAGAGCAATCAGTGATACATCAATTAATAATACAGCGCAGATCACAAGCACACACAGTACATGAGTTGATTAATTTAAGTACAAGAAAGCAAGACGAAGTGACAAGCGATCAAGATGGAGATTATTTAGGTCGCAAACGGCCAGCCGATCGAGCTGCAAAGGAGCTAGCAGCCATGGCTTGGATTAGCTAGCTAGTAGGCGACGATCCTGAGGCCGAGGCTCTTCTGCGCGTACTCGATGAGGCCGTCCACCTCGCCGTCGTCGATGTAGCCGTCGCCGTCCGCGTCGGCGTAGCTGATGCCCTGCCTGCTCCTCCACCCCGTGAACCGCGCCCGGATGGCGCGCATCGCGCGCCGCAGCTCGTCGCGGCTGATGCGCCCGTCGCGGTCGACATCGAACCGCCTCAGCCACTCCTTGAACTCGTCCACCGTCATGTCGCCGTCCAGAGACCGCGTCGTCGTCGCCACCGTCATGCTCCTGATCGCCATCCCTACCTCCGGTCGCCGGTTAGCTCGCTCTTGCTCCGATCAACCAACTCTGGAGATATTCTCACCTGAGATCTGAATGTGCAGGTGCAGCACCGTGTTTGGCCCTATGCTCTTATATAAGCTAGCAATGTCTACACAGCGTATGCACGGATTAAAATAGTCCTATTTCAGAAACCATCAGCTTAAGTTTATCAAGCAGATGGCTACCAACGCCTTTAATTACCTAATGACCTTTTGCGACTTAGCTTAATTATCACGCGTTGTAGCTTCTCTCTCTAGATCTCTGAATATATTTAGATTTGGTTGTGGACAAATGGTTCACCTCCAGTACTTGAAGAATCTATCGCCGGCAGGGGCGTTCTAGATCAGCGTGCAAATGCTCGTTGAATGGAGCAAGAATCTGCACCAAGTGGCTCGAGATAAAAGGGCAAGAAAGAAATAATAGTTGGGAATAGATGCATTTGAGTGATTATGGGATGGAATCATATAAAGGCTACTTGATCGAGCTGTCTGAAGCAATGAACGCCCGCTCAATGTGGGAATCTGCAAAAGGGGAATTGGGTTTCTCTATCTTCATTGCAGGATTGGACATTATTATGTCTTTCTGAAAGACGGAATAGGATGCCAAGATTAGGTTCGCATTATTGTATACTCGTGTGTAAAATTCTCCGATCCGATATACTAACATATACTCCCTATGTTTCAAAATGTTTGACACTATTAACTTTTTATCATATGTTTGACCGTTCGTCTTATTAAAAAAATTTGTGAAATATGTAAAACTATATGTGTACATGAAAGTATATTTAACAATGAATCAAATGATATGAAAAGAATAAATAATTACTTAAATTTTTTGAATAAGACGAATGGTCAAACACGTACTAAAAAGTCAACGGTGTCAAATATTTTGAAACGGAGGGAGTAATACCCTTTTTCTCATGGTGCAGCCTTGAAATGCGGAGTCAACATTCAGCTTATTACAAGCCAAACTTTTGTTTTAACGAACCGGCATATGATTATTGCCAATTCCATTGAATACCGAAGGAAATAGTTACAACCACTAGGGGTTAGAAGTAGAAAAAGAATTATGAATATACCTATTTCTTAAAGTAATTTACGCTTATATACTTGCATGGGAAAAATTTGCATAAATATACCCATTCCACAGGGTGAAAATGCGGGACTAAGTATTTAGTGCAGCGCAAAAACGTGGGACCGAGGGTCCCGCGGGCTGGGCATACGAGACTGACCATGCATGAGTTGGGTGAGGCATATATAATACTGTTCGGTACTGTTGAGACGCTGTTTACTACTGTTCACAGAGTCGGTTTCACGCAATGGAACCGTGGGACCGCGTCGATGCCGCCATTTTGAGCCGCGGGACTGTATCGGTGCCGTGCGGTCCCGCTGGCCACCATACACGGTGCCACGTTTTTGAGCTGCGGGACCGTCGCGGTTCCGCAATTTTCGCCTGTGGGACCGTGGCGGTTCCGCTCGCCCGTTCAACGGGAATGGCCCGGCCATCTCTCCCGCATTCCCGCAATGCGATTTGTGAGCACTCTCGTGTATTCGATCCGCTGGACGCGTTTATTGGTGCCATTTCTTCCCATGTAGACATATAAACGCAAATTATTAAAAAAGATGGGTATATTCTCAAATGTTTTTTTGATAGAAGTGCTATACAAACTATATACAGTATTTGTTTACAAGCTCAAGTAGGTGTCTTACTTCTGCGAGCGTCTACATCCTCCCTTCGTCCTTGATTTTGTTGAAAAGGGATGCTGCTAAGAGCTCCTCGTTCCATTCCAATTTTCCTTGCCACTAATAGGATTAGCGATCACGCCCCCTTGTTTGACACTCATTAATAGTTAGCTAGCGCGGTTCACCACTCATGCATGTTGACGTCGTGCTATCCATTCCTCGGGACAACTGCAACTGAGATATCTATTAAGTTGTAATAAGGTTCTATATTCTCCAGATAAATCTACATTCGACCAAGAGGTGGAACAACGACTATTTTGTATGGCTAAATAGGGAGCAGAAAGTGTTGTGCGGCCATCCTCTAGTTGCCAGGCGGTCCGTGTCCATACTCTATTCTATATCATCAGCCAAACGATAAATTTACATTTTCTTGGTGCTCATAGCTTCCATATCAGGTGCATGTAGTTTGTTTCTGTTGATACCATGAATTGTACATTGTGTATATGCTGATGAGGCCATGTATACACCATGACAAGTGAGCTTCCAAGCGATTGCATCTAGTTGGCTAGGACCGGTTGTACTAATTGTGTTTCATTCCACATATCTAAGATCTTAAAAGTCAAAACCATGTGTTTCCTTGTAGGGCTTGGCCTAGCATTATGCTTTTCCTTTTTGAGAGAGCAAGCATATTTGGCATCAGGTTTCTTGGTCATCGTCCTTATCCAGGCCAAGTTCTAAAAGCTACTTGTGGATCTATGAACAATTGGGATATGTGTACAACCATCACATAGAGCAGTTTGTCGTTTTGGTCGCACGGGTTTCCATGCCAACCTAAGGCTTGTTATAGGGGATTCTTCTCATGCCGCAACCATTGAATCCTTAGTGCCGTAGCAAATTTCTACAGATTAATAATGCATATATCTCCATTGCCAATTGACATTCATGTTATTGTCTAGTTGATTTTGCACTTGCTGCCAATTAGATTTTCACTTCCAGCCCATAGGAAGCATTTATGCATGCAAATTTTCCATTTCATCCATCAATTTGCACTCCAAACAACAATTTTCCAACAGTTTGCTATTTCGCCAGGTTTATTTTATCCATACACCAGACATCGCAATTGAGTTTCCTTTTTCTTTCTTTCTTTTAAGTTTCAGCATGGCAAAATTAAGGACTAAGATTAATAATCTCTCTTCAATTCCTTATTGCATATTGCCATGTTCATTTGCCCATATAGACATCTAGTGGAAGTGATATTTCTTAAGGTTAGCCAATAACTAATTTCCAATCTCAAGGGAAAATTACTGGAATTTGATTTCAGTTCTATTCCAAAGAGACATGGTGCTCGATTATAGCTAATTTCATTTCTTACGTGTGCATGGACAGTTTAAGAAGAAATCAAATCCATTATTTTCCCTCTACTTCTCTATATACATGAGCATATGTCCCAAATTTTGAGATCTGAAGGTTCTCCTTATGTGCCAAAAGATAGGAATTGATTTGTCTTAGAGCAAGTACAATAAGAGTTTAAGTGCTAGCCCTAAGATATCACACAAGCGCATATAATAAAGTGGAGGGGAGAAGAGAGGAGAAAGATAATAAACCCCTTTATACAAGAGGCGGACTTTACAAAAACTTTAAGATACAAGAAAGCAGAGAAAGTAGATTGAGCAAACAAATATTAAGGCTAATGTATTAGAATTGTGTAAAGGTAAATGTATTATGCATAAACTACCTCGAAATTTTTAGTAGATGACATGCATAGACAAAATTACAGGTAGCACCCACCACTCTCGTCAAATTTCTTACGCCCCCGCTATATGCATGTGTTTGCCTCTCCCGCCTCTCTCTCTCTCTCTCTCTCTCATGTGTCTGGTTCTCCCGCCTCTCTTTCTCTTTATCATCTCTATGCATGTCGTTTCTCTCCTCTAACTATTTATGTATGCATGAAGGCTCTACTAGCAAGCCTAAAATGATTTTCCCTCCAAAATACTTATCTCATATGTGATCCGATTACACTGTCATATTGGTTGCAATTAAATCTTTACAATAATATATCACATAATTATATTTTGATAAAAGAAATATTACTATGCTTCACAAATATCACATTGACTATTTTTTTTCACCACATATAACTTTATGTTTCACCGAGGATCAATTTCAAGATCTGACCATCCGATTTTTTTTTTGGGAAGAATGGGCTTCCCAATAAAAAAAAGATTGGAGAGCATGGTGGGAGCAATATCAGGTGATTGTGGACAAGTCGGAGAGTAAAAGATGCCTTATGCGTGGGCTGGTCGGCTAGGCATATTCAATCTCCAACAAAGAAGAGACATTTTACTAGACAAACTGGTTCAAAACTTGCCAAATAAGTGGTTGCTATGTGTTATGCACTTACTGGGGAAAGCACACATCACATATGGGGTACACTTTTATTAAGAATCTAGTAATCGTAAAGCTTGATAGACTTGCCAAACCGTAATACACAAATCTGATGCTAAATTTTAGGTGGATAATTGAGTTGTGGGTGTGCAAATTTACTAATCAGAGTTTAAATCGTGGTGCCTATGAATGTTATGCACACATCACATGAGTGTGCTTTCATTAGGAAATCACAGTGGAGGAGGTCTCCACAGTATAGCATATAAATCACAAAAACTTTTGATTCAATTCTAAAACTTTTAGCCCAAAATTCACAAAGCTTTCAATCTAAAAATCCAAACTTGCATCTCATACTCAAATCCCTCTTCTTCTTCCTCAATGACCACTATCTTCTCAGTCACAGGCTCACAGCAAAGGCCGTGGCCACATCGCCAATGCCTGCTTTTGCTCCTCCTACACTACACATGGTGGTAGTGGCGACAGACACAACGGAGTCCCCATGTGGCGGCTAGCAGCCACACTGCTGCCTGGGCAAGTTGGGTTGAGGAGCTAAGGCGGGCATGGCATGGTCAGAGGAGTTGAGCTAGGAATGAAGAGGGTGATGGGGATACTTCGGGGTGCAGGAACAAAGACGAAGATGAGAATGGGGGGTTGTGGCTACGCATAGGGGCAAATCGATATAGATGACGGCGAGTGGCTCCGTCGGTGCCATCAAATGAGAACAGATCAAAACGGAACGAATGAACAATGCGATAAGAGGGATCAGACTACACCTCCCAGTCCGATGGATCCCATAGGCTCTATACGTGCACCCACGATGCATATGCATGAAGTAGCAATCTTGCTGGTTTTTGTCCCTTTGTGTGTAAGTTATGGATAATATTTTGTCCATAACTTACACATATCCATAACTTACACACAAAGGGACAAAAATCAGCAAGATTGCTACTTCACGCATATGTAGTGGTGTGGGTATATCAGCCGTGCAATAAAAGAAATACAGAAGTAAAATTAGTTGCTCGGACCATTATACAGACGAGGTTATCAACTTAGCTTAGTTCTTATTCACACGTACTAGTTGCACAAAGGCTGGCAGGAGACCAAAGCCCATGGAATTAGATATTTTTCCTCCGGTGGGCTAAAATAGCCTGGGTGATCAGCTCAAACCTTGGCCCTGTAAGGTCTGTCCTTGCCAGTCGGCGTGCATGGTTAATCTCTGTTATGAAGCTAACACACACAGTTCAAGTACCTATCGATATTTGAGGACATATAGCTGCACATCTGTACCGGAGAAAGAACGTGCGATGTGCAGTCCGGCTAGCTATATATATGTACATACACACAGACGATCGGGTTACCGGGTACGTAGTGCGTACGCGAACAAGTGTATCTGGATCCCTAGTAGGCGGCGACGCCGAGGCCGAGGCGCCTCCCCCAGTACTCGATGAGGCCGTCGATCTCGCTGTCGTCGATGTAGCCGTCGCCGTCCGCGTCGGCGTGGCTCATGCCGCGCCTGCACTTGATCCCCGTGAACCGCACGCCCACGGCGCGCATGGCGCGGCGCAGCTCGTCGCGGCTGATGCGGCCGTCGCCGTCGGTGTCGAACTGCCGGATCCACTCCTTGAACTTCTCGCGCACCGCCGTCTCGTTGAACGGATGGTACACGTCGCCGATGCCGCGCGCCCTCGCGGATAAGTCGAACCCAAAGCAGGCCATGACCAGAGTTGTATACGTAGTAGTAGCAGACGAGCAGTTGGCTGATCGCGGCAGATATCGCCGACGACTCTTGTACTGCTTTCACTTACTTAGCTTAGGCATGTGAAGGTGCATATCCGTTATATATATGCATGACCTCCACGTATCCGTGAGAAAAAGAAAGAAAATGACGAGAAATATATGCATCTCTATCCTCCTATCTGATCACTAGGATAAAGTACCAGCAGGTTTGGGTCTTTGGGATGGATCGATATAGGAGTTATTTTACGACCAGTCGCTAGATGAGGATCTCATGGTCACCCTCTGTGTCACAACCAAGTGCTCGATCATCCTGGCCGTATATTCATGCGCGCGAAAAAAGAAAAACTTTGCATCCACCATGAGTTGAAGTTTTCGATCCCCTGCCTCTACCTTATGACCCTGTTTCTTCAGATCCGGATCCTCAGCAGTAATGCAGGGTTACTGTTCATGTGAATAGCACAGTAAATCAATGCAATGAGCAATGTCGATTTACTGTAGCTAGATGGTCATAAACACTATAGCTCACTGTTATGTGAGTAGAAAAATGTTGCAGCGCAATATCTGGGCCTTATATTCTTGATCGGGTGGCTACCAACTCACCAAATGCACATTACTGTTCATCATCTATATTAGAACCTCTAATGCAGAGAATCCTCTTTTCGTTTCTTCACCTTCCCTTCACTGACCCCTAGCTCCGATAGCGTGTCCAGGGTTCACGAACCAATAAAAACACTTGTTTTTTGCAAGAAGAAAAGAAAAGGTTTTGAGTTGGCTTGAAAGTTGACAAACAGCTTGGTGAAAAGGGATAAACAAATTTTAATCCATGTAATCAAAAAAAGATTCACATAAATCTAAAAGAGTAAATGCATTCACGGCACATCAACTTGGCAGTTGAGTACAATTTAATTGACAAAACTTGAGAAGTAAGCATGTTAGTCACAAAAAAAGTAAGCGTGTTAATTAGTGCAACAATTTGGTAGATGAGTGCAATCTAGCAGTACAAGAACTTAATAAGTGAGCGTACGGTTGTAACAACTTCTAAGGTGGGTGTGATTTTGGAATGATGCAAATCAACTTAATTATTTTGTTCATTTTTTTCTATACACATTCAATTTTTAAGTAGTCAATATACTTGTGCACATTTGTATTAGTATATTTGTCATTCTGGTAATTAACAGTGAATTAAATTTTATGTTTCAGTTAAGATTTGAGAAGGTGGGAAAAAAAACCCAAACCAATGGTGCAAATTGGAAGAGTAATTTTTATACATACATTCAGGATTATTATATGATGGTATATTGAGATTATGAAAGAAACCCGCATAACACTCATGAACCAAAATAGCATATATGTAGATAAGTTATTGTACCAAAACATTAAATTGTCAAGTTATACTAGAATACACTTACTTGTCAAGTTGCTATACTTGAATATTCAATTATCAATTTGTTTAACTAGATCACACGTAGTTAATATACCATGAGTGTAATTTACTCAACCTAGAACTATGTAGATAACTTTCCATCTTTTATAAATATTCAGCTAGAAAAACATTTTTCCCTATACTAGCTGAATGCCCGTTCCTTGCTACAGATAGAAGAAAATATATTATAATATTATCTAAAATGAATAAAATATATTTTTCATGAAATGTGTTACCCATACTCCTTTTGCCATAGGGAGTATCCACCTCAATTTGATTTTATATGTGGGTATCCATTTACATTTGATTGTTTTTTATATATTAAAAAGTTTAAGGGGTAATTTGTAAAAATTAACAATAAGAGTATGTGGATGGCACATTCACTGCCACCACCATTATCTTCTTTTGAAGTAGTATAGAATTAAGAAGTTCAAGGGTAATTTGTAAAATTAACAATGAGAATAGGTGGGGTGAAAGACTCATTGTCATCATCACTACTTTTTTTAAAGTAGTATAGATAATTAGATAGCTTTTGTTGGGTTGATGGCATATGAATTCTGGACCATAATGTCTTGTTGGGATAGTAAAAAAATCCTAGTGCATCCCTGGATGAGACTAGCATTTAGGCCTTGCAAGCAAGCTTATGGGTTCGTTTGGGGAGTTTCTGGCAACTATAGCTTCTCCCATAATCAAAAGTTCTTCCAAATAATTCAGTTTTTCATCCAGATTATATATGAGAACTTGTAGTTAAAGTATCCATAAAATAAACTGAAAGCCAAATCTAGGTTTCCTAGCTTTTGTATATTTTCAGAAGTTGGCTAATGACCAGCTGATTTTCATAATATTAAGCTTCCCAAACGAACCTAAGTATGCTTAGCCCTTTAAGGTTCAAACGAACGCACTTTTACAATCTGATTTGTATCTGATTGATTTACACCTGTTGTTAATTTGACGGATAAAATTAGACTGGATTTATTCTGACTTCTTTTGAACAAGAACTTATTCTGACTTGGGAAATTTTGTTCTAGATAAATATCAGTAAAGATCGATCCCCTCGAGTATGCTTCTATTCTAGAGTTCATCTGTGGAACCAAGAATCTACACCTTTGTTTGGATTTATATTTCTGGATAAGCACGCACGAAACAAATTCATTAAGAATCTGCAGCACGTGGACTGACAAGGCAACTCAAGGTTGGTTATTGATGCATCAGGTATATATAGAGAATTGTACAAAGGCACAAAATTAAATAATAATACTAGCACATATTGTGGAATATGAGAGGGGACCTTGACTGGATGGCTCTGTCTTATTTTAAAATCTGACTAGATATGTATTATTGGGGGTGTATATAAAAAAAACAGAGAATATGATTCCATGTCTGGGCCTGTATTATTGGGGGTGTATATATCCATCTATCAGATTCTATATTCACATATCATGTTTCTAGTGTTTTAGAATCAAACAAACGATGTTTAACTTCAAGCTTGGTTATACTAGGAAGTACTCCATCCGTTTTAAATTGCTTATCACTTTAGATTTGTCCGATAAATCAAACATTTTTCTAACTTAAACCATTAATTTCTAAATACACACACTTCAACAACATGTGAATTATATTATGAAAGTATTTCTAATAGTGAATCTAATTAAAAGCATAAATTTTATGATATTAAACTATATAAATTCTAAAAATTGATGCTCAAAGTTTGTAATGTTTGACTTCAAACAAAGCTAAAACAATAAATATTTTAAAACAAAGTGAGGGGTGGATCTAGAGTGGGCCGTGAGGGACTGAGTCCCCCAGTCCGCTGGATCACCATAGAGACCAAAGAGAGGGGAGAGAAAGAAGAAAAGGAGGGGTGGAGGAAGAAGAAGACAATACGCCCCTTCCAATCTAAAGTTATATCTGCGTCTGAAACTCTGTCTCTTTCATGCTTATATTTTTTTATCAACGACCTTCTATATCCAAAAAACAATATGATTACATTCCTCATGGTGTGCAATGCTAGAGAAACATAAGTGTTTCGCGTAGCTTGGTAAAGTTTGGAGCTTTTCAAAATTGCACGAATTTCCCATGATTTATGGCGAAACGCTTTCCAACATACGCCCGATGCGGGAGGAAATATTGGGCACCCGCACCCTTATCCCATTTTCACCTGCACAGCCGTATCCTTATCTCTTTCTCCTTCTCTCTACCCTTCGTCAACTCCTTCAAATCCAGCCTACACACATGCGGCCGATGGTGGCATCGACGGTGGGTGTGCAAGTGGCAACGGGGTCACGGCAGCGCTGGAGAAGGCGGAGCGGGAGAGGACGCGGTAACATAGCCGCTATTAGTGTACTAGTGGGGAGTAGAGGAAAGAAGAGCGAGCGTGGCGGTGGCATCCATAGCTCCTCATACCTTTGCATGGACCACAGCCCCACCACCCCAGTTTTGCCACCTCCTTGATCCCCCGACCGGAGGAGCGCGAGCAGTCGGGGCGCGGCCGTTGCAGGTCGACGGAGAACACAGGCCCTGCATCCTGCTCCTATATTGGGTTCGTTGGTTTGTAGGGAGGTAGGTAAAAGGGTTTTTGGATGTTTGATGCACTTCTTGTATTTTGGATGTTTCACTTGCCTTTGTTCATATGTTGCACAAACTCTTCTTTTTTTGGATGTTTCAATAGATAGAACTCAATGTTTCATTTGGAATAGAAAAAATGTTTCGCCTATATTTTGGTGGTGTTTTATGCCCTCACTATCATTTTCAACAAATATTTCAATAGCTTGATTTTTTTTTTGTTTCACAGTGCACAGACCAATGTTTCACGGAGAGCGGCCGATTTTTTGCTATCCTCCGGGCCCACGATTTGTAGTGTTATCCGATTTATGGAGTAATCTAATTGAGTTCTGGGAAATAGTACTCCCACAAGGACATGCATGGAAAGTCTCCCACGATTCGCCTTACATGTTTATTACACGCCATGATACACCACAGTAGCTGTCATCTCCTTATTTCACATTAGCTCGCAACCTCTCATAAGCTAGGTGGAGGGTTAAGTTCAAGCCCCTGCTCAACTTATTCCCTACTATCACAATTCACATATGCATGCGCATGAATATCTAGGGCTCTCATCTACATCAGGATGCTCCAGCCTCCAGGAGGCTCAAGGCTTCTTCCTTGAGCGAGTCATCATGGCCATGAAATCATCCATGTCCACGAAGCCATCACGGTTCCTGTCAATCTTCTTCACCATCTCCCTGCAATCCTCCAGGCTGCAGCTGTCCCCAAGCTTGTGCAGCACCTGCATCACCTCCTCGGCGCTGATCCTTCCGTCGCCGTCCTGGTCGAACACGAAGAACGCCCGGCGCATGTCCCCCAGCGGCACGCCGCTCTTGTGCACCTCCATGAACTCTTCGAAGTCCATGTAGCCGTTCTTCTTGAAGTCGGCGACGCAGATCATCCGCCTCGCCTCGGCCGCGGCGTCGGCTTTCCCGAACTTCTCCAGGAGCCCCTTCAGATCCTTCCTGGTGATCCGGTCGTGCTCGCCGGCGATCTTGTTGAACACTTTCTTCATCTCGTCGTCGTCAGGCTTGTAGATCCTCGTCAAGTCGGAGAACTGCCGGTCCCCGCCGGACAGCAGCCGGCCGGTTGGCCGGCCTGCGGCCTTGGACTTGAGCTTCTCAAGATTGTACTTGAAGGTCAAAAGGCTCAGATGAGACATTTTGGATTTGATTTGCTGCAGCTACGGATGATTGATACGCCTAAATGAGCTCCTGATTGCCCGTCATGGAAGTTCATAGGTTCCTTGTCCTAAACATGGCTAAGGTGCATATATAGAATATATGCCTGACAGCTGCAGAAAGTTTCAGAATATGTGATTCCTCCAGAACTTGCAGAATAGGCTACCTCAAACCAGAAAGAAGGGCAAAAGATGGGCCAGACAACATGCAAAGTAAGAATCTAGTATAGCCGCTTGGGATAAGGAAAGAGAAAGAGATGTAGAAGTGTAGAACAGAACCAAAGCTGACTTGAAATAATTTCTTTCCTTTTCTTTATCAACTATAATGATAAGAACAAAGGAGTACAATTATTAGCAGATAATGGTTTACAACACTTAAAAATGGCACCTCATCATGTACCGTGCCTGACTGTAACAGAAAGAATCACTGGTTAAATCGTCCAAGTTGTGAACACAATCTATCCAGCAGCAGTTAATAAATGACAGCTGCCAAGCGAACAGGGCCATCAAACTATGGTGGTTTCCCATTGTCTAACTCATCCATGTTTTCAATGTCCTGGCGAAATGTGATTTTCCGAACATAACCTACAGAATAAGTAGAACACCCATCCAAGTGTCATAACAGCAAATCAACAGGTAAAAGTTTGCCAGGAGTAATGAAGAGTTAAGGCAGTAGAAAGGAATCAAAATAAATTAGCATGGTATTTAGAAAGATCTCAGTTATCAACAAAAGTTAATCTCACGAGCTCGATTGGAATATCTAATTGTCTCAAGCTACTTACTTTACTATGGCAGAAATCCTGCATAATTTGGCAGCAACCAACTATCTAAATCTATTTACTTTTCCATGTCAAAAGTCCTGGAAATTTTGGCAGCAGCTAACTATCTAAATATCTAGTTCTCATCTGTTGGACAAAGGAATAACGTTAAGTGCCCAACACACACGTACCTGCACATGCTATGCCAATTTCTATCAGGGGTATTATCTATCAGGTCAGATTGAAGAACTAGCGTTGCTTGTTATTAGATTTTTTCAGGGATTATTTTGTTCGATGATAGTATCATATCTTTACTGTTGACTTCGGTAGCATATCATGGCAATTTTAGTCATATTAGATCAGTTCCAATGTACTTAGAAAAGCTCAGGTAACTGAACTCAGTAGCATAGAGGAAAACATTCCAACAGTAAACAACACTCTTTTTCAGCTATTCCTGAACATTTCTAAAGCATTGAATTCTAGGTTCCGTTATCCCATTATTCATCTGCAGCATTTCAGGAGCTACATAACTGAGGCACTGTATACAATTTTATCAGTAGTTCATTCCACACAAGATATTTGATTTACTATCCTTGATTGTTAAAATAAACTTTCATCATTGTTGCTAGCATCTGCAATTAGCATGCTTAATTTGGATTCAGCTGTCAAGGCATTCCTAATGCTAGACATCTATGCCACTTCATGCCATATGGACACTGCTATAAAATACTATTTGTCCAATGCATAGTTTCTATGTGTGAGATCAATGCAAATAGTAAATTACTCTCATCGTCTCTCCCTCTTATTTGTTGATTTGCCTCTCGTTTTGTGCCACAGACACTACCTCAACCCCTAATGCTATTTTGTTTGTTTCTTGATGTGTTGGTTTATTTGCCTTGGGTAGTGTCTCATGCAAGACATGGATTCTCTCTCACACACTTCGTTAACTCTCTTGCCACATTAGGTTTGATCCTACATGGCAGGCTATTAATTATTATAGGCACTACATGAGGTGGAGCAGGAGTGCTATCATGTTCATGCTTTCACATCGATCTGAGCACCAACTAATCACTGAAAGTCGCTGATAAGTCGAGCTAGTCATGCGACTTTATATTTGTTTGAGTTGTGGGCTTCTGGTCGTGTGGGCTGACAATCACCGACTAATCGAGACTAATTGCTCAACTTAACAACAATAGGAAGAGCAATAAAGAGAAATGGCATCTCTGAGCAAAATCTCCTTTTCTGTGCAAGGTTTTAGCACCAAGGGTTATGTGCACAATATTTACTGGATATTTAGTACTATCAGTGGTATTTGCAGCCTTCTTTGAATAAAAGGGGGCAAAAGCTGCACTTACAGGTTTGACATGAAATGTTCAGTACATACTAATGCAAATCATTTTATAACATCCTAACTGCAGACCAAGGCTGAATGGTAAATTATCTGTCTAAACTAAAGAACTCATCAAAACTACACTGTATCTAATGATAACCAAGTGCCACCCCTAAACTGAAGGCAACCTACACCCTTTCCAGTTCACAATAGCAATTCCTAGCAAGAAGATCTGGATACATGTAATATCCCCATTCCCTATTTCCGATCACCTACAAATGAGAGCAATTCGATCGATACTGGGAATGCGAGCAAGGGATCTCACCAATGCCAGCGCATGGCACGCATTTGCAGATGGTCTCCCTCCCCTTCTTCCTGAAATAGCTCACCAGCCCTGTCCCCTGGCAACTCCGGCACTTGCCCGTCCACTCGTAGGAGACAGTCTTGCAATCCTTCAAACCCAAATCCACACAAACACATACTCCGAAATCGTCACCAAATTTTCCCTCCGAATCACCAAAGAAGTGAAAAACTCTTAGGATCCCACCGCAACCGCACCCACCTCGATCTCCACGTCGCAGCTGAGGCGGCGGTCGAGCTCCTCGCGGGACATCGGCTCGGTGTCCGGAACGGTCAACGGCAGCGGCAGCGGCTCCACGTCGTCGACGAGGTAGCTCTCCCTGTCCCCGGACCACCAGTCCCACCATCTCCTCCTCCCCCTTCCCCTCCCCTTCTTCTCCTCCTCCGCGCCCTCCCTGGCCCTGACGCGCACCCCGGGATCCCGGGCGGCGACGCGGCCGCCGGATGTCGACGGGTCCGCGTCGGGCGGCGCCCTAGGCCGGAACCAGTCCGGCGTGGAGGCCGCGCCGGTGGTGTTGGCCGCCGGCGGCGGGTGGGGGCGCCGGGCGCGGCGGGGGAGGGGGAGGGAAGGGTTGGGGCGTGGGGAGGAGAGGAGCGGGGTGGGGTTCGCGGGAGTCATGGAGATGGGAGCGGGGTTTGCGTCCGGGACGCGGAGATCATCGCTCGCTCGCTCGCCGCCGGCGACGAGTGGGAAATAGTGGGAGTGACGGGGAAGCAAGCGATGTGGCGACGAGCGCGACGAAGGATGTGCCGGAATCTACAGATAATAATAAAGAAAAAAAAAAGGAAATTGGGAGATATCTTGATATTGGAGGCGTTAATGGGCTGGGCTGTCAGTTGGTGACTTCGTGGGCTGCCCAACTGTTCTGGGCCGGTTTGTAGGATCCGCAATTTAATGCATTTTTTTGCTACAAAGGCTAGTGAGGAACTAAAATATTCAGTTTTCGAACTCACTGTTTTTCCAGATAGAGATACCCATACATTGCAACGAAGATTAAAGTGTATAGAGATTAAATTTTATTTATAGACCTATGCGACTGAAAATGGAATAGAATGTGGACTTTTTAATGGGTCCATGTGATTGGGTTTGGAGCATGGGGTCGAGCATAAATTTTTTCTATTACTTAGTTTCTATAATTTTATCGGGTTGGTGGTTGTGCACGTAAATAAATGCAGATCCTCTCTGGTATTGTTGGTGCAGTAGCAGGCATTGACGTGTAAAGAAGAGGATAGAAAGACAACTCTCATTTTCAAAGTACTTGTCGTTTAGACATCGACATCATTTTCGTTACACATGTTTCATCTTTTTTTTCTAACTACATGTTTTGCTATTAAAAGAATAATTATATGAAATGATTTTCATGAAAAAATTTACCAATATCATTCTGATGGAAAATTCTGACATTTCTTCGTTAATTAATCATGCAAATTTTCTGTCTGACTGGGACGGCATCTATTTGACAATGAAGGTAGTAGTAATTAAAAATATACATACAAATAAATTGAATCAGGTACCACACAGTTGCAGGGTTAAATACATTCAGGATCACCTCATGTTTGCCAAAAAGAAAGGAAAGGAGGAACAAAAATACGGATAGAATCGAACGGCAAAAAGAAACAAAATAAAAGGGAAAAAATGGTGTTTAATTAATGTGTTCCAGCGTGTCGTCAACGGTTAATGTCTCTTTTCTTCATCTCATGAACACCGGATGATCTCAACCTGAACAAGCTTATACTCGTTGAATTTGTGTTAGCTAAGGTTATTCCCAGGTGCATATCTGTCAGAGCAAGATTATTTTCATTTCATCAGTCACTAAAGAAAAATAAGGAATCACAAGCTTAAATACAGCACTCGTGATCACTCACTGGAACATGAAGCCCGTTTTGTTCTTGAAGCTGATCGGAATCGCCCCTTGCAGTGCATTGTTCTGCACAAACCTGTCAAGCAAAAAACTCAAGCGGTCATAACAAGTCGATGAACTCAAATACTTGACTAGTATAAACTACTTGTTGAAGCCACTTACAATTCACGAAGCCTTGGCATGCTCCCTAGAGATGGAGGAATCTGCCCTGTCAGTCGGTTGTTCTCCAGATGCCTTCAGTTAAGAAATTTAGCCAGGTGATCTTCAGTTTACTGAAGCATTCTCCAAAACAATTATTGAGCAGTATGTAGCTACTGTGCTTACAGAGAAACCAAATGATGTAGGAGGCTCATATCTGGAATTGGTCCGGTCAGATTGTTTCCCACAAGCCAACTGCAATCACCGTACCCAAATTAGGCAATCAATATTTACTTTACCACTGCAATCTTTTTCCAATCTGTCAGCAGGACAATTAAAGAATGGGAGTCTGGCATTAGCTTGTTTAAGGAGGCTTACATGCTTGAGATCGCTGTCAGGTTGGCAATGCCGTCAGATATTGATCCCCCAACTTTAAAATTCGTGAGATTCCTGCCGTGTGATTGCCACCATTTCGGTTTCAGAGATCAACAAGAGAACATACTGCCCCTTTTGCAGGCATTGATGCATATAGTACATATGGCAATCAGTAACTTACAGAGAAACCACTCGAGCAAGTGGTTCTTGGGTGCAGGTGACACCAGTCCATGAGTTCCCCTGAGGCAAACATGGATCGCCGGCCCAGTCAGCCGGTGGGTTGTCGAAACCTCTGGCTAGCGCCTGCATGCCGATCACTGCAGCAACACGAGACAATGAGACATGAATAAATTTCGATGAGCAAACCACGAATTCGGCATGATCCATGAGATTTTGTCAAGTTACCATCTCTGGGATGTGTCCTCCCTCCGAGTGGCACAACCATCATCAGCTCGGCGGCGTTGATCACCGGCCCGACCGGCGAGCCTGGCGCAGGCGTCAGCGTGATCTTTGTCCGCCCGGAGAGCGGCCACTTGTCGCCGTAGAGCATCGACCCGGCCGTCGACACGTTCAGGCCGGCGAAGAACGTCTCGCCGTTGACGGCGACGTCGAACACTCTCCAGCTGAGCGGGCCCGGCGCGCGGTTGTCCTGGAAGTAGAGCGCCAGGTAGTAGCTCGCGGCGGGGAGCGGCGCCGGCGGCCACTGGAGCTCCAGGCTCTCGCCGCGGCCGCCGGCCGTCGTGACGCCTCGGCGGAACACGTCCTCCGGTGGCTTGTTCCAGAACGCCGCCTGCGACACGCTCGCCTGGCTCTCCACCACCGGCATCCCGTCGCTGTGCGCCTCCCAGAACCGGTTGAAACGATCGCCTGGATAGCTAGAAAAAAAAAATCACAGATTCGACGAGCATCAAGCGGCAAGCACGCCATGAATTCGTAGCAAGGAAATGGGCGGTGGTGCGTGATTGTTCTTACCTGACGGCCGCTGAGCCGTCGTGGCCGAAGCTGTGGCGCGCAATGGTGCTGAGAGCGTAGGACTCGAAGTCGGTGGAGTTGTACACCGAGTCCTCCAATGGCGACACCTCAAGCGCGGAGATGAAGGGGCTGGACTTGGTGGCGGCGTTCCTGGCGAGGCACACGCTGACCTCCTTCTCGGTGGCGAGCACGACGGCCTCATAGTACGTGGCGAGGCCCCTGGCGTAGTCCCCCGCCGTGTCCACCTCGCTCCACCGCGTGCCCTCGATGATCTGGTCGAACACCGGCGGCGCGCTGCCGCCGTCGAACCCGCCGTAGAAGTACGTCGTACGGACGAGGTACTTCCTCTTCCTCTCCGCGGGCACCACGTAGCAGTACTTCCTCGCCGACGTGTCGGGGAAGTACCGGAGCGAGGAGAGCACCGGCAGCACCCCCGGCGACCGCACGTCGGAGACGTTGCCGACGCTGACGAACCGGCCGTCGGGAACCCATGTCACGTCGCCGACCACCTTCTCCGACGTCGCACCGCAACTTATCTGGTACCCTGTGTACAAACGCGGACAATGTTCATCAACTGCCCAAGCACATTGCACGTTGTGAACTCACCGAGGGCAAAAGCGTTCATCACCTGAAAGGCCATCGGCGGCGCCGGCGATGCCGAAGACGAGGACGACGGCGAGGAGGGAGAGGGGGATCATTGGAGGAGGAGGAAGGTGCAACCGCAATGAGATGGTCGTTGGCTCGTTGCCGGCTTGAGAGTTGAGACTTCTGCTTTGTTTTGTTTGGGTGGCAGTTTCTTCAGAAGTTCATTATTTTTCTCTATGAATTTTCTACTACTCATCAGCTCTTGGTGGCACACATGTATAGATTACATATGCATGACCTCTTCTAAGACAAGGGAGCTGCATTGCAAATTTGGAGGCTTGCAGTACATGACACAATGATTAACCTATGATTTGAGATGAAACAAGCATCTTTTATAATAGAGCATTTTTCCCATCCTTAAAGAGGTATCACGAGGTACCAATCTAATCTAACCGTTGGTTTAACAGGGGTATGATCGGGCTAACAAAAATGAGGTCTCCTCTCTTCCATCTGCCGCCGTCGCCCATCGAGGCCATCGCGCCGCCGTCTCGCATCGAGGTTGTTGCCGCCGTCGTGCATCGAGGCCGCCGCGCCGCCGCCACCGTCGCGCATCGAGGCCGCCACGCTGCCGTCACGCATCGAGGCTGTTGCCGCCGTCGTGCATCGAGCCTGCTGATGCCGTCGCGCATCGAGGCCGCCGTGCCGCTGCCATCGTGCATCGAGCCTGCCTTGCTCGGAGGCACCCAATTTGAGTTTGCTGCTTTAATCTGAACAGAGAAATACCAGGAGGAGATTCCCAATTTGAGTTTGTAACTTTAATATGAATAGAGGAAGGATTCAGGAGGAAAAAAACAATGCGTAACTCAAAGTACACGAGACTTTCTCATGAATCGATACTATTTACAGCAGATCCAATTTCTGAACCTTGTTATTTTAGTTCATCAATACGAAACTTGCAATTCAAGAGTAAGCTGGTAATCAACCATTTAGCCATTTACATTTGGTTCAGCAAATCCAACAACAAAATTCACAGCAGAAAGGAGGAAGAGACAGGCCGTCGTTGCCGCCGCCGTCAACAAAATTCACAGCAGAAAGGAGGAAAAGAGAGGCCGCCGCTGCCGCCGCCATCGCGCATCGAGGCCGCCATGCCGCTGCCGTCGCATATCGAGGCGCATCGAGGCCGCCGCGCCGCTGCCGTTGCACATCGAGGCCCTCGCCGTCGCCGCAATCTCTCGCTGCCCCTGCCTCTTGCCGCCATCTCTCGCTGCTCTTCCCCAACGATTTTTTTCTCTCGTGAAACAGGGAAGGAAGCCGAACGCGAAAGAAAGAGATGCCCACGCGAAAGTACAGAAGTACCCTTTCACCCACGGTACCGCTTCAATGAGGAGGTGCTGTACCACCGTTGGATGATGCCAGATCAACAGTCAGGATTTGGTACTGCACAACCTCAAGGACAGTAAAAAACCTCTTTATAATAAGACAAAATTTGCTACAGGACATCAAAAAACGTATAATTAGTTGGAGGACACCGTAAAAACGTGAATTTGCTATAGGGCATCGTAAAAAACTGGTAATTGGCTGCTGGACACCCACAATATTATTTTATTATTTTTTAGAGGAAAAGGAGAGAGAACAGTTGTGTAAATACGGTTCTACCCTTTGAATTTTTTTCTTTTGAGCGGGAGGCGACTGGCGCGGGGCGGTGCGGCACGACAGCCGGGCGCAGTAGCACAGGCGTCGGGCATGGGTTAGCCTAGCGTGGCGGCAGCTGCAAGCCGACGTCTGGTACACCGCACCGGCGCCGGATCAGCGAGGCCTCACATCACCACTCCGACGCCGCCCTACCTCCAACTGCAACTTCCAACTCCATCGCAGCCCTCCACACGCTCTCCCTCCTCTCCGGCGCGCTCCTGCAGCGGGTGATGTCGCGAATGGCCATGCCGCACGGAGTCAGATCAACTCAATTCGCATCGAAAAATCGGGGAGGAACCTGGCCTGCCGTGCTTCTTTCCTTGATGCCGTCTCTGTGAGCTCGCATAACCGCCACTCGGCCCGTCTGGGAAGAAGGAGAGGGAGAGGAGACTTCTCTGTGGGAACTGCATTGGAGTCATTTGAGCCAAGGGTAAACTTGTCTTTAATCATTGTCTCTCTCTCCTTTTCCTCCAAAAATAATAAAATAATGCTGCGAGTGTCCAGCAGTCAATTACCAGTTTTTTATGATGCCCTATAGTAAATTCACGTTTTTACGATGTCCTCCAGCTAATTACATGTTTTTTTGGATGTCTGTAGCAAATTTTGCCTTATAATAACGTTCTTTTAGTCGGTGGTACTACTCAGTACCAATGCAGGTTGAGGTGCCATTTTGCGCTGCTTGGGTGGAAAGCGTTTGGATACGGGAGTGACCGAGTCAGGCTGGGATCTATTCGTTGCGTCTCGTGCTCTCCGTAGGGGCGTGGACGTGGTGGATGTTTGTGCCTTGCTTGCATGCCCTGATCTAGCTGAATCTTTGCAGAGTTTTTTTATTGTTCTAGATGGTTGGTGTATACTCACTCCCTATTTTGAGTTTTTTTATGTAACATTTGACCATTCGTCTTATTCAATTTTTTTTCTAAATATAAAAAACGAAAAGTTGTACTTGAAGTACTGTAGATAATAAAATAAGTCACAAATAAAATAAATAATAATTTTAAAATTTTTTGAATAAGACGAGTGGTCAAACGTTATAAGTAAAAACTCAAAATCACTTATATTATGGGACAGAGGAGTATATGATATATATGTTCACGGTCGTGGGACGTGCTTGGATCAACGTTTGCTGCCATTAGTCAGTTCGTGGCAGACTTAGCTCTCTTTTCTCTCGGGGAAAAAAAAAAACTAGCTGGAGTTTGATCCGTGTCTCTGCCACGCTGTACACGGAAATTTTGTTCAACATGGCAATGATTGGTACCGGACCTGATCCCGTCGTAATCAGCGGTCCCCAGCTGAACGGCGCATTTGACATGATCTGCCTGAAAATTCCTCCCTTATATATAAAAAAAAGATTTGGAGGGAGGGACATCCCTTTTTTTTTTAATGCCCAGAGGGACATTCCTCAAAACTCTTTTTCAAGAAGAAATTATAAATGTGTTAAAAATTTAACATAAAACCTTGGAGTTAAAACCAAGTGCATCTTAAAATTCCTCCCTTATATATAATCCTAGTCAGATTCTTGTATCTGATTCAATCCTAGTTTATATATTTTGAAGCGCGCGTAATCGGGTTTCATGCTATATGATTTCTGATTTTGTTTTGCTATTGTTTTGTTTGTCTTGTTTCGATTTGTGGTTTAAATTGACATGGTTTATGCCAATCGTAAAAATTATTTTTACCTGTTAGAATGCAAAGACATTTTTGCTGGTAGAACATAAATATTGCGAATTTGCGATATTAGGCCTGAAATTAAGAGGCCGAGTTGTACTTGTACCTACTATGAAGGGCCTGGATTTCCTTCAGGCTATGCAGTCCTGAACAGAAAGGCTGAAATGCGTTGGGCCGAGATCCATTAAGCGAGTCACCTAAGTCAAACGAATTTGAGTTATGGGCCGTAAGTGAACTTACCTGGGCTGTTCTTGTTGCTTAGTTGGGTTAGATTATTCACCGTCTTTGGACCGAGATCAATTAGGCGAGTCAACAATGGAAGTTTGCATCTTACGCAAGGCCATTACTTCGAGCGGCAAAAAGGTGAGAGCCCAAGTGGTCAACTCGCCAAGTGCAAACCCCAGCAGTAGCAGATCGGCTGCATCTGCATTGGAGTCAATCTGATCTCTGCCCAGCTCGTGCACCGAAGCTGCAAAATCTTTCACGGCGGAGACGAAGTGGAGGGTTGATTAAAATGGACAGTAAGCCGACGCGGCCGCACCGCCGGCCGCCGCCTTTGCCGTCCAAGACGAGCGGCGTGTGGCCCGTCGCGCTGCTCGTCGTCCTCTGCTTCGCCGCTCTCCCGCTCTTCCTCGCGCTGTCACGAGCGCGGCCGACCTTGTCCGACGTGTCGCAGATGGGCGTCACGGTGACCGTCCACGACGGTGAGCAGCAGCACTCAACGTTGATCTTCCTGTGACGTCACTACGCGATTAGTTCACTGGTTTCTTGGTCAATGCAGAGGATCCAGCAGGGACGCCGCCGGAATCCTCCCCGGCGAACCGGGACAGGCTCCTCGGCGGGCTGCTCTCGCCGGACATCGGCGAGAGCGCGTGCCTGAGCCGGTACAAGTCGTCGCTCCACCGCAAGCCGTCGCCGCACTCGCCGTCGCCGTACCTCGTCTCCCGGCTGCGCAAGTACGAGGCGCTCCACCGCAAGTGCGGGCCCGGCACGCTCTTCTACAAGAAGTCCCTGATGCAGCTCACCTCCGCCTACAGCATGGGCCTCGTCGAGTGCACCTACCTCGTCTGGACGCCGTGCGGCGGCAGCCACCTCGGCGACCGCATGCTCTCCATGGCGTCCGCCTTCCTCTACGCGCTCCTCACCCACCGCGTGTTCGTGGTGCACGTCACCGACGACATGGCCGGACTCTTCTGCGAGCCCTTCCCGGCCGCATCGTGGGAGCTCCCCGCGGGTTTCCTCGTCCACAACCTGACGCAGCTCGGCCGCGGCAGCGAGCACAGCTACGCGAACCTGCTCGGTGCTAAGAAGATCAAGACCGACGACCCCGCCGGCGTGCGGTCCGAGTCGCTGCCGTCGTACGCGTACGTCCATCTGGAGCACGACTACCAGCAGTCGGACCAGCTCTTCTTCTGCGACGACGACCAGACCGTGCTGGCGAAGGTGAACTGGCTGATACTGCGCTCCAATCTCTACTTCACGCCGGGGCTGTTCCTGGTGCCGCAGTTCGAGGACGAGCTCCGGTGGATGTTCCCGGCGAGGGACACGGTGTTCCACCATATCGGGAGGTACCTGTTCCACCCTTCCAACAAGGTGTGGGAGCTCATCACGAGGTACCACACGTCGTACATGGCCAAGTTTGAAGAAAATATTGGCATTCAGATCACGACCTTCGCCGGGAGCAAGGTGTCGTCGGAGGAGTACTTCAAGCAGATCGTCGCTTGCACGAGTCAGGAGAAGATTCTGCCGGAGATCGACCCAAACGCGACGTCGAGCGCTAACGAGGCGGCGCTAGCCACCACGGCGTCGAAGGCCGTGCTCGTCAGCTCGGCGCAGCCGTCGGAGTACGCCGAGAAGCTGAAGGCGATGTACTACGAGCACGCGACGGTGACCGGCGAGCCTGTCAGCGTGCTGCAGCCGGCCGGCGCCGGTAAGCAGGCACCCAACCAGAAGGCGCTGGTGGAGATGTTCCTCCAGAGCTACTGCGACGTGTCGGTGGTCAGCGGGCGGTCGACGGTTGGGTACGTCGGCCATGGCCTCGCCGGGGTAAAGCCCTGGCTGTTGCTAACGCCCACGAATCGGACAGCGTCGGCTAACCCGCCCTGCATCCAGACAACGTCGATGGAGCCGTGCTTCCATGCTCCACCGAGCTATGACTGCAGGGCCAAGAAGGATGGGGACCTTGGTGCCGTTCTAAGGCATGTCAGGCATTGCGAGGATGTCGGTGATGGTCTAAAATTGTATGACTAGTTAATTTTGATGTACTTAATCAGATGGGTGGAAAAGACAAGCTTCAATGATCAATTGATCAGTTGAAAGAAGAAAAAACTGTAGAATAATTACAAGATGTATTGACTTAGATGGAGGCAAATGTAATATGGCCTTCCAGTTGAAAGATGTCATGTGATTTGAGATGGGGAATGTTTCAAATGATTTGCATCCTGTCAGCACTAGACCACTCCATGCAATTGGTTGTCTTCAAGAAGGTACCAAAGCCCTGTCTTTTGGCAAACAATAAGTGAAACAACGTATGCCCACTTAAAGATGGAAATTTGTCAATTTAATGATGACACAACACCTCAAGAAGTTCCACAACATGGCTCTCACTCTCAGAGTTTAAGTTAGAGAATTGGCAAAATGCAATTAAATTAACTAGAAAGGTAGCCCGCGCATTCACGCGGGCATATGCATTATTGGTTGCATCTGAAAAAGTATGATTTCTTCATCATTTTTTTATTATGTGATGTATTATAGTTGCTTCCATAATTTTAATATCTTTCTATACATTTTATAGTTTAATGCTAGAAATTATGTACTCATAACCAAACACTTTACATTTTTTAAGCTAGCCTGCAGTTGTCATGAATTAAGTACATGTATATTATATATTTATTATTTAAAGCCTGCAATGCCAATTCAATTGTCATAATTACGTTGTATTTCATAAAATTATTGAAAGACCGTGGAAAATCTTTTGATTTTCTAGTTTTTCTAAAGAGTAATTCTACGGTACTTGAGTAGATACCATGAGGTATCAAAAATTTAGTGTAAAATTTGGTACCTCATGGTACCTAGGTACCAAGAGGTACCAAATTTATAATAGAAAAAGTGGTACCTCATGGTACCTCCTCAAGAACCGTAAAATTGTTCTTTTCTAAACAATTTCGGTGAAACTGATGATGATCGGATGTTTTTTTTCCAAGATTTCTAAGATGTTGCTAACTTTTAAAAAGTGGCATGCGACTGCTTGAGGTTTTCCTAAAAGTAGATTTAGTGGTTTAAAATAGTGTAAATGCAAGACTTATACGGTCTTTAGCATGACTTGGCCATAACTGCAAGACTGATCCATACATGGAGTAGAAAGTCCTTCCACACATGCTGAGCAATCGGTCCGTAAAATTACTAATCTCTCGCATTGCCTGCACAAACCAATGATCAAATATTTTACTTTTTTTTCATTGAATTTCGAAGATTTTTTCTAGTTTTTAAACATTGACACGCCAAGGCTTAAAAGAACTCTAGAGGACATTTAATGGTTCTTTATTAAGTAGAATAATTTAAGATGTCATAATACTTACTATCATTATTTTCAATGCTTTATTGTTATTTGGTTATCGTGCAAAAGATAGGGGCTATGTTCAAATGACATTTTAATTTTTATATAATAAAATGAAATAATATGGATTTTCAATTATTTATATGATTATAAATAAAACAATACTACAAACAAATTAAAAATAGAATGTTGTTTGGTTACCATGCAAAAGAATAGGGGTCTATGTTCAACCAACTTATTTGAATTTTTCTATAAGTAATTTAAATGTTGAGTTATTTAGCTATCCAATTGTAAAAGAGTTCAAACAAATTAAAAATCAGCCATAACTTATATTTTAGCTATGTAACTATAAATTACTTTATTATTATGTCGTTAGTTCAAAATAAGAGGGGTGAATTAAATGGGAGGAGATGAGGAGGAGACGAGGGGTGAGTAGTGCGGAGGGAGACATACAAATGTACAGCTGGAGGGGGAGGGAGAGTGGAAGACGGTTTGTTTTCTTTACATAGATCCAATGGGATCACCAATTTGAGTTGTTTGTTTTTGACACAGCTCCGGATCTAAGATTTATTAAAGTTTTGTATTTCTAGGTCCATAGATCCATAGATCTATGTGTTTACATTGATAACATTTGGATAATTCATTTTGTTTCTATTTTAGATGAAATTTAAAATTTTAAACCACTATAATTTAACATATAAACTTCAAACATTGTATTTAGAATCTAGAGCTGTGTCAGACATTGCCCTAATGGTTAAAATAATATACCCACTGATTTAGGCATAAATCTACGGCCAGATGTTTTTTCCTCAAAATTTCTAAGATTGTTATTAGTTAGAAAATAGAGGAGTGAATTAAATAAATCTGTGATGTGGTGTTTGACTCCTTTTTAAGATTTTTGTTTTGATTCCAACATTAATTTATCTGTGTATTAATCTGTGGATCATGCACAATCCTTAATTTTGTTGGTGTGATAATCTACTCTATCTCCATTCAAAAAATAAATCAAAGCGTCTTGTAATATAAAAAGGTGGGAGCTAGTAATAATCTCTCAATCATGCAGTCCTTGATTGTGGTAGTGTATTAATCTGTTGATGATGCGCAGTCGTGAATTTTGTTGCTGATTAGAATATTGTCAACATAGACCGTAAGCATAGGCAGCATTATCTGTTATTGTTTTGCTAATTGATCTTGTATTATATTTGCCATTCTTCTCAAAGCGGCTAATTCTTCTCCGATTGCTGCTCGAGCGTTTCGATGCATAGCGTCATCAGCATCCAATCGTCAAGACGACAAATCGAAACCAATCGCAGGCAACCAAATTAACACTCTATCGAGAGCTACACGATCGGTTCCTCATATGGCGAACAAGATCATTGTACTCCATACACCGCCGTAATCACGGTACAGAAAGAGGGGAGCAGAGTTATTCTTTTAATAGATATAATGGGTCCACCGGTTGTTGAATTATTTATTTTTAGTATCAAATCTAATGGTTAAAATAATTGTTCCACCGATTTAAGTGTAAATCAATGGCTAGATATTTTTGTTTTTATCAGATTTTTTAGGATTTTCTTAGAGTGTCACGGTCGATTTAGGAGCGTTTATAGGAAGTTTAATAAACTTTTAGTATATAATAGATTGAAAGTGGTACAAGAACAACAAATACCTCTGGCTTAATTTTATATATTTTCGATAAGTAATTACAACCCACCCTAAACGTCGACACTTTGAAGGTACATGTACAAAAACAAACAAAAATAAATAGGCAAGCTAGCAAGGAGAAGAGTTATCACTTCAAATGTGTCTTTCTCCTAAACATGAACATTGCCACTAAGGACCGTGGGAAGAAAGACTTCCGTGGCCTTGACTCAGCTATTGTAGTTGCTATAGTGTCAGCTCTAGGTAGCAACATTCGATACTTATAAGGATTGGAGTTAGATGATCCTACTGCGTCAAAAGAGGTTGATGTGTTCTTTACATTGGAGATTTGAGCAATAGGAAGAGATACCTCACCAGTATTTCGTTGTTTCTCATGATGGGCTCTCCTTTTTCTTAGTTCATTCTCCATTGCTAATTTTCCATCACATGCTACATTGGCTTTCTCATGAGCCTCTCTCAGTGCAACCCTCCTATCATCAATTTGCTTGATCAGTTGATCTAACCTATCCAAACTCCTCACCTCTGCATCCTTTGCTTTCTTGATCTTCTCTATAGCTCTAATAACTTGCTTCTTAGCAGAGTCCTCGGCATCTTGCACTTTCTTGCACAATACATTGTACTCTTCAAGTGACAATGTGACATTGTTGTTTTTTCGATTAGCTAGTGGTTCTAGTTCTATTTCCTGTTTATAGTCTTGTAGTGCATTTGCTGATGCCACTGCAATTTCTCTTGATGCATTAACTGCAAGTATCTCCCTCAATGTTGCTTCTATTCTCAATTGAACAACATTTACCTCTGCCTGGGCTTGATCTGCCTCTTCTCTAGCTTTTTCCATCTCATTCCTAGCAAATACAGCATTCAACTTTGCATGTTCCAACTTTTTAGTTGCTTGCTGTAGTTCTAAAGGCATTTTTGCTGCTTTTGTTCTCTCTTCCACCATGCTGAGCTCAAAAGCAATCTTGCTCAATTCTTCTTGAAGAGCTAAAGCAGATTCAAATGCAAGATTCTCTTTTTGCCTTAATGATGCAATGTTTGTTTTCTCCATCTCTACATTAGCTTGTAATGTAGCAGCAGCATTCCACAAAGACTTCACATCATCCTTGGCCTTATCAATGTCTATCCTCATATTTTCAAGCTCCTTCCTAGTTCGTGCTAGCTTCGCACAAACAATTATCATTGGCCGCTCTTCCTCTCTAGCCTCAGATGGCACTTTAGGCAATGTACCATCCACGTGAGCCTTAAACTCGTCCCTTAGATTCATCAGCCACATTGAAGCAGTTTGTAGCTTTGACTCAAGGTCTTTATTGAGTGATAGGTCATCATTGAGCTTTTGAACCTCGTCATCAATCTGTTTTAGCTCATTCTGCCAATTCACCATGTCCTGTTGATAAGCCAAAGCTGCATTTATTTTTTTCCCCTCAGCTATAACATGGTTAGCTTGTGAGGTGGTTATCAAATCTTTCATTGTGATAACCTTAATGGTGAGATCCTGAACAACCTTTTCAATTTCTTGTGATGCAACAATGGCCTTACGTGCTTTTGTTTCAGTGTTATCCCTTTGAGAAATTAGAGATGTGTATTCTTTTTGAAGTTGATCTAGCTCCATCTTCACTGACTGCAAGTCTTCTAAGGCCGTTGCACGTCGTTCATTGGCAACCTCAATCTTTGCCTTTGTTATAGATCTCTCTTTGCGGGCAATGCCTTGTTGCATCTCTTCAAACCGAATCTCAGCAAGCTCTAAGTCTTGTTGTGCTTGAATTGTCTCAGTATGGGATTTGTCTAGGTCTATTTTTAGTCGTTCTATAGTTCGTCTAGTACAATATAGCTCCTCAAGAACTTTGCTTTTCTCAACTTCTGTGACTTCCACTCTTCTCTTGTACTCAGGAGCATCTTCCTGCATCTTGTCAAGCTCAACTTGGACATGTTTCCGTCTCTACGAAAGAATAGTTATAATCGAATTTATGCATTCCCTTCATCAAAACAAGACAGTAAGATGGATAAAGAAGGATTAAAAAACTACCTCTTTCCAATCAAGTATCCCTCCAAATTTGCTAACAGCATCTTTAACGGATTCAATTGGTGCTGCTGTGTCGACCAGGACTCTCTTATCAATGGTTTGAATGAAGCGTTCAGCAATCTCTGCAGCCCTGAAAATGTTTCCAGCTGAGTTATGGCGATATATTTCCTTCCTCTCAAGCTGGTTGTCATAATTCTCCTCTTCCTTATTTGCACATAGATCATTAATCTTCAAAGAACTTAAATCTTCACTAAAACGTCTTGTGTGACCATGGCTATGTATCCGCTTCTCTTCAAACTGGCTTTGGTAATTGTCCTCTCTATGATTTATGCGTAAATTATTAATTGTAAGGGAACTTAAATCTTCACTTGAATGTCTAGTATGACCAACCGAGAAACTTGATGGCAAATCAAATGAAATAGTAGGCTTTGATTCATTTGAGCTTGACAATACATCAATAGAGTTTGGATCAATATTTGAGCTTGACAATATGTCAACAGAGTTTGGATCAATATTTGAGCTTGACAATACATTAACGGAGTTTGGATCAATATTTGAGCTTGACAATATGTCAACAGAGTTTGGATCAATATTTGAGCTTGACAATATATCAACAGAGTTTGGATCAATATTTGAGCTTGACAATACATCAACAGAGTTTGGATCAATAGGCACTTGGGGAATCCCTTCAATATTCAAGCCCTCCATCTCCTAGGATGCAGGAGAATACCAAATAATTATTCAAATGATTATGATGGATAGAATTAGTAAGGGGCACCTGAAAAGGTTATTATATGCTAGTAAGAAGGAAAAATCGTGACACACATATATCACATAAGATTGATTAACCCTTTTCAAATGACTTACAATATAGCAGGAAGGGAAATTTAATCACCATATTGATCAAATTATCGAAGTATGACATAACCTATTCTCATCTCCATGGATAAAACAAATGTAGGTCATGATTTTTTTCTAAATATTGGAGTCATACAAATTAGCATGCTAGTAAAACATATGAAGATTATGGTCTAAATTTGTGCAATGTAGTTTTTGCATGTACATAATAATTAATAACATGGATAAATATAAAGCATCTATAGAAATCTTTACAGAACAACACAACACATTGTAATATAGACGAAGATAGTTACCGAATAGAGTAAAAGCATTCCATGAATCTTTATTTGGTTGAGAGATATGTTTTATCAGGAAAAGTATATAACATGCAACTATGCTAAGGTTAGCACATGAATAATAGGCCTCTACCATGTCGCAATCTTCCTTGCACTTCCTATTCATATTAAGATAATTAATTTCACGTGATCCTTGGTCACTTTTGTACTTCTCATGAAGATAAAAAATGACTCCACTTAATTGAAGAAAATGTAGTTTTCGTTTGTGATATACCTACACAGATAGACATAAACAGCTTCTATGCAAATCAAATACATGATAGGCGTAAAAACATACTACAACTAGCAAAGAAATTGGCTAACAAGTTGTAGAAAATAGCCACATATAAAGTTACAATACCTCTTGGATTTTCGATTTCCGTTCCCTTCAAGAGTTCATCAATAAGAGAGATCAAAGTTACGAGAAGAGATTGGGGGGGGGGGAACGGTAGGAACGCAATACGACGTCCATATGCAGGGAGACCACCAAGTCCACCAAAGATAAAAACTATAACTATAATTAGGACGCGGAGTAGTGCTATTCCGCAAAAGCAGGGACTTGTTTGGCCTAATTTTAACCTTGTGTTTACAAAAGCCATAGCACCAAACAAACAACACATGCCCAATAGCAAACAAGAGCGATTACTAATACAATATTTGTTGCTTGATTTGGTGGTATGGAGGTATCATTGTTTCAATTAATAGTCGTCATAGTCACAAAGTTCTCGGGTAGATGGGGTCAAGAGAACAAGAATGATGAACGTATTGCAAGATTTTACGGATGAAAATGTCTCCTTGTTGCTGGGATGGGGACGACGTTCCTGAGTCAAAGAACATTGCATTCGATCCCTTTTCCTAGCCTATGCCTTAGGGAATCTAGATGACATGAAACTATGGGCATATAGGGGTGGTCATTAAGGAATCAAGATGGAATGGAAGCAAATAAGATCGGATCTAAGGCTATTCCTAATTAGAGATATCATTTTTATGTTTCCAAGATACCACATAAGTAATAAGGTATTTAATTGATGATTGAAATAGCTCACATAATGCATAGTTTCATGTTTGTTGTTTCATGGGTAGTATATGCAAGATACAAACTGGAGTATATTAAAAACAGTGTAGACAAGATTTCGTCTAGTTAAAACCCATTTCATCTCTCACTTTATTAATTTGTTGCAACATTATCAGAAACACTGACATGACACCTTATTTAATGCTTATTTGGAATGCAGGATAGAAAAAAATGTAGAAATAGAAATCACAGAAATATGATAGGATTGTATGTGTGAAACACATGATTGAATAACATAAGAATTTCTTATTCTTCGTGCATAGGTAGCGAATAGTATTCCTGTGACAATCGGGTAGCCAATCTTTTAAAACGAATGCAACTACGGTAGCTAATTCAAAGAAATCATCAATCCTCCATTGTTTTCCTTCACATTTGCTTCATTCCGAATGAGCCCGAATGAAACTCCAGTGGCCTAAAGACGGATTGTGATAAAAGATCAATTTTAGGGCACACAATGAGACAAAAACGTCTTTTGCCCACGGATACGGATGGGGCTGGTGGTCCCCAGGCCACCAGGCGGCGCGCAGCGAGCGAGAAAGCAGCGCCCCGCTCCCAGTTTTGGCTTACGAAACGAGTCCCATCAAAACACTCAGCTGGAGCCGCGGTTCACCGTCCGCGCCTCCGTGGCTATCACGGCATCGCGGGCGCTTCTCTCCAGAATCCACCGCGCGGCGTCGCGGAAACCCACCCGTCTCGCGCGCTACGGCTTAGCCGCGACGGTGACCGCGGCCGGTTTGCCATCCCTAGACGGCTCGCGACGCTGCGTGGTGGGCGGCTGGTGGCACGTTGCGATCACAGTGGGAAAGGCAGTTGGGCCACTTGGCCGTGGCGAGTAAACTAATCAAGCTGCTTCTGTAAACTATCAAGCTGCTTCTCTTCTCCCGCTCTCGCTTGGTCCTCGGAAACGAGTTGACCGTCGTGTACCCGTGTGCAGTGTGCTGGGTGCTTGCTCGCCTGCTGTTTTCCACATCGCCGTCGCCACGGGTGATTTCCCTCGTACGGTGCTGTTCCACGAGCGAAAACTAGCTGAGTTCCACCACCTCTCGATGTGACGTTGACTAGTCAGGTGAAAAGCGGATTCACCCTCCCGAGTCACGACTTGTCAAAATACGTACACGCCTAAGTTATTAACTCGCGTGGAGACTCACTGGAACGCATGTGTAACTGCTTCCACCGTTGCATCGTTTGCAAATTAACTCAGCTTCAAGTCATCGCAGACATTTTGCGCAAATATTAATTGGAAATAATCTATTCCATCAATATACAAAATTCTTGTTACTTTCTACTCTGTACAAAAAAATATGTATAAGACGGTACTCCTAAAAAACGTGCTCTGCACAAACAATGAAGTATAGCTAATTAGCTATACAATGAAACGAATAAATGAATGGCCTTCCAGTAATCTAATCCAACGGTTGAGATCTAATAACACTAGCTCAAAAACTAGACGCTGCACCGGAAAATGGCGGGAACCAGGTGTCCGCTTCATCCAGCTTCATCAGGTCCTGCAAGCCATCCCAGAGCTGGTTGCTGCCGGCTTCGTCCGCGCCCATCTGCCAATCCACCGGCGTCGTCGTCTCCTCGGCATCCGCGCTGCACGGCGACAGAGTCGGAGTCATCTGCTCTGCCGTTGTCGTCGCCGCCGTGACAGCATCGCCGCCATTGCCGTTTCTTTGGCTGGGCATGGGCAAAGGCTCGGAGCACGGGAAGTTGAGCTTCGCGCGCGCGCCGCGGAACTCGAGGGCGGCGCGGTCGTACGCCCTGGCGGCCTCCTCGGCGGTGTCGAACGTCCCGAGCCACTTGCGCACCGCGCGGCGCGGGTCGCGTATCTCCGCTGCCCACTTCCCCCACGGCCGATGCCGCACGCCGCGGTACACGTTCTTCTTCCTCCTCCGCCTAACCCTCTTCCCGCCTGATCCTCCTGCCACCGCGGCCGCAGCAGCAGCAGCAGCATAATCCGTCGCCATTACCGCCTCCTCGTTCCCCGCCGCCTCGGCCCCAAAGAAGTCGCACCCGAGACAGCCGTCGATGCCGCACAGAGCACACGCCTCCCCGCACGCCACCGTGACGATCTCCGGCGGCGGCGTGGTGCACCCGGACACCACGTACCGCAGAGCCGCGACGATGATGCTGTGCTCCTGCTCGGACGAGATCCACCGCGCGGAGCTCGGAGCCTGATGACTACCCCCACGCTCATCAAGCTTGGTCTTGCAAGAATCCTGCCTCGCCGCCGCCATGGCCGGTATCACCTTCTTGGTCATGAGTGTTCCAGTGATCAGTAGGGAGCTAAGTGAGCCGGAGCTAGTAGTGTGCTTGAGGTCGTTAGCTGAAGCCGGGAGAGCGGGTGCACTTATATAGGGGGAGACCAACATCGAAAGTAACACGGCGACAGAACGGCGCCAGGACATGCTCCACGTCGTCGTTGATCTTTCCTCTTTCAGGCTTAGCCCTGTGGAAAACGTGTGGTGTCGAGGGGATTTGGGCAGTGTGTGCTGTGCCGTGGGGCCGAGGTGACGTGTGGATGCTGACTTAAGGCGTGAGGTCAGCGGGGAGGCGCCAGCAGCCAGCAGAGGCAGCGGCAGCAAACCAAGGGTAGAATAGTCTACCGGAAAAGGTCAAACCGGGTCAGGTTGTTTGATGACGTGGCTTATCCGAAGGCCGAAGCGGCGTTTCTGGACTCTTGGAGATGTCAACTCGCGCTAATTACCAGATTGCCCTCTCCTCGGCCGCGGCGACGAATCCCCTTTCCGCGGCGCCGCCGCCGCTAGGTGCCATACCGTCGATCTTCTCCGGCGGCGCCGAAGCACGCCGCGTCGAAGTCCTCTCCTCTCCTCCGTCCTCTCCCCTCTACTGGTTCGGCGGCGGCGCGGAGCGGAGATCTCCATCCGGGCCGATTCGGTGATTCTTCCTTCGGTTCGGTAAGGAATTTGCAACTCGCTTGGACAGATTTCCCTCTCGATCTGATAAGCGATTTTTGTCGGTTTTGCTATGTGCAGTCAATCCCAACTATTTTCACTGTGATCCATGGAATTAGAGTAGAAAACGCACCCATTATTCAATTGCTCCATCTGCAGTATGATGAACATGTTGTTTTCTGCTAATATTTTTGAGTTTTCACCACCACCACCACAATTGCCTTCATTTAGAAGAGTATAGATAGAAGACAAACATTTTCATACTGCGCTGAGGTAAGGTAATTTCCAGATTGTTGTGGTAAACTACTAACACCAAGCGAATTTAAACAAAAAAAAAATCACTTCACAGCTAGTGGGGCAAAAGTCCTGAGGGCTGAGGCAAGAATAATACTCCACATTGAACCCTTGACACGTCAGACGGTCAGAGCAAATTTTAATAATTTGTTTGAATGAAATGGCATACTATCATATTCCAGGTATTTAGGATATCATTTAAATTTCTTTTCCAAGCATAAAATAGTCCTGACAAAAATATTTGTCTGTCATACAATCAATCAATCACTTTCTTGTTATTTAAGACATCATTTAAACTTCTTATTTCAGGCACAAAATAGTCCTGAAAGAAATATTTGGCCTAGTGGCGCCGCCCTGCTGGAACTCTAAGACCACTCTTTTCCCAGACGCAGTAATTGTTGCCGTGAGCAACGACATGGAAGTCTGACGGGATCAAGTTGCCCACATCATACCGAGTCCCAATCTTTGTGATCACCTTGTCATCGATCATGGCGACGTAGACATCTCCGTCAGCAGCAAGGATGTTCAGCTTGCTCCCAGGATGAATTCCATTTCTTGACCTCACCGCGGCCAATGTGCTGATCTCCTGCTTCAAGTTCCAGTCAAACACATGGTCGTAGAACTGTACAGACAGACGGAATGTTAGTTCGAGATTATGGTTAACAAATATCGATTTCTGATAGCGATGGAGATTATCAAGCTGAGCACTCACAATGCAGGGTACTCCAGGGTGTGTGAGGATGTAGGCGTAGCCCTGCATGACCTTGTCGGAGGGGAACGGCCATGAGTTCTGTGTGGAGCCAGTGTCATGATTGTCGATGAAGGTGACAGCCTTCTCCGGCAGCCAGCCAATCATCCCCGGCGCCTTGCCGTTGCCATCCTTCATCCGCCACAGCTCACCTTGCACCGCTGCCTGCAGCTCGCCCTTGGTCGTGAAGTCGAACGCCGATGCAGGGCCACCGACGGCCTGCGCCCAGTTCACCAACTCCTGCCGGTCACCGTCCTGGTTCCACGACGGCTCACCGTTGCCGTCGTAACGCATGTTGCTCCATATCTCGGCGACGACGAAGGACGGGTCGGTGTTGTCCACGTACGTCTTGGCGACGGTCGCCGAGTATCCCTTGGCGAAGTCGAGGCGCCAGCCGTCGAAGCCGACGTCGGACTTGAGCCAGTTGAGCCAGTCGGAGAGCTCTGTCTGCACACGCGTGTTGAGGTGGTCGATGTCGGGCGCCGCGCCGAAGTCTGCGCCAGTATCGCGGTGACCGCGGCCGTTGGAGTACTGCGTGTCGTCGCTGCAGATCATGTCGGGACCCCAGTCGAGGCGGCTGTCCGGCGTGCCACCCTCGAAGATGCAGTAGATGCCACGGCTATCCTTGTAATCCGCGCACCGGTGGTTGATGACGATGTCGGCGACGCACTTGATGCTCTTGCTGTGGAAGGCGGCGATCAGCGACCTGAGCTCTGCCCCCGTCCCGTACTTGGACGCGTCCAGGTCGTAGAGCCGTCCCGGCATGTATCCCTGTGGCGCGACGGAGTGCGACGGCGGCGGGAGCCAGACGTGTGTGACTCCGGTCGCGGCGATGTCGTCGACGTGGCTATGGAGGAAGTTGTACCACCCACCCTGCTTCTTCCATGACTCCCAGTTGAATCCCTGCACCAACATCATGTCAACGTGCAGGTACGTCAAATTTGTTCATAGCTAGGAACTATTTCCTATTGTCATGTGACATACTAACGGGAAGTACAGCAGATCAAATGATCAATGAGACTCACCTGAAAGAGAACCTGAGCCTGGGCTAAGTGAGAGCCCAAACAGAGCAAGACGAAGAATAGGAGGCAGCTCATTGTGGTGGAATGCTTTGCCATTGCGTGTCTCAGATACAAGCTGAGTTGTGTGGATGGGGAATGCTGGTGCATGGGAATTTATAGGTGCAGCCCGGCATGCAGACGTACCTCTCCGGGTGAATTGATTGTTCAATTCGTTGGATAAGTTCAGTTGCTCCTAACGAGAAACGCAACGGCACGGCGGCGACGAGTTGCGCTCATTTAAAAGAGGATAAAAAGGAGGCCAATAGGAAGTTAGATAAAGCCTTGGATAGCGTTGTGGGCTCCAGGTAAAGCTTCCTTTTGTTCTTCCCGTTCCCGTTCCCTGGAGGAGGCGAGGCTGTTCCAGGCTGCAGCCTTCCTTCATGCGATCGTCTCTGTTGGCGCACATCCACCTAAGGGCAGCTAGCTAAAACCAATTCGAATTTTGTTTCGCAATTAATGTTTTTTCTTTATTTCCTATGTTTGCTAGTTTTCTTCTTTGGTATCCAAATTACATTATACAATTCATCCATCCATCATGAATTTAATTATCCTTGTTGTACACGTACTTTTGCCGGACACTTCCTAGAATTAGAGCCTCATTGTTTTCTTTTTCAAGGGAATGCCATTCGGCTAGCTTTACTGATTGGAATTAGAGCCTCATTGTTTGTCCTATATAAAATCAACCGCTGCTAAAATCTGATTCAAAACATAATTCTGTAGTTGATTTTAGAATATTTTTAATGTATTTCTTTTGTAGCATTAGCTTTTAAGTTACTAATTAAAAACACATATATAAAATTTTCATTTATAAATTATTTTTTATCGCTAATGAGCCATGTTTTGGCATCAAATCAGCTCTTGGCCAGTTGATGGGGCTCGTACATTCCATGTTAATTAAATAAAAAAGTAAATAAATCAAGGATGGCAATTCTGATTAAAACAAGAGTCCTCGCTAGAATTAGTTAATGAAAATTACTAACACTGAAAATTAAGGGCTTGTTCAGATTGTAGCCAAAATAAACCTTATTAAATTTTGGCAATATGGCAAGATGACAATATTGCCAAAATTTTGACAGGATTTCTTATGTATTTACTAAAACTAGCATGGTGCCCCGCGCATATTGCGCGGCTAGCATTATTATATTTTCTCTCATATAATAGCATATATGTTTTCTCATTATATTATTCAAAAATATTAAAATGGCAACATAATTTTAAATTTTGCAATAACTTTACAAAACTACTAATATGTAATATTCATATTATATTTTATATACGTGTTAGTTATTAATTATTTTTAATACCAAATTTTAGTTATTTGTAATTATATATATTACTATATGTACTCTAGACTCGTATTTTAATATTTATTTTTTTTAATTCTGAATTTTCTGTAAATTGTATTTCTATATAGACTCTATGCTCTTCTTCCAATATTATTTATTTTTATTTCTGAATTTTTTATTATTTCTAATTGTATTTCTATGTGAACTCTAAACTCATCTTTCAATATTTTTTAATTTTTAATTTCGAATTTCAGTTACTTCTAAATTGTATTTCTATATTGACTTTAAACACTTCTTCCCATGTTTTTCTTAATTTCGAATTTTAGTTATTTGCTAATTGTATTTTTATACGGACTCTAAACTCTACTTTAATTTTATTATGTTTATTGCAAATTTTAGATAGTTTTAAATTCCTATATGAACTCTATACTCTACTTCTAATATTTCTTATTTTTTAATTCCGATTTTCTATTATTTCCTAATTGTATTTCTATATGGACTCTATACTCTACTTCTAATATTCCTTATTTTTAATTTCGAATTTCTATTATTTTCTAATTGTATTTCTATATAGACTCTATACTCTACTTCTAATATTCCTTATTTTTAATTCTGAATTTCAGTTATTTCCTAATTGTATTTCTCTATGGACTCTAGTCTCCTCTTCTATTATTTCTTATTTTTTAATTCCGAATTTTAGCTATTTCTAAATTATATTTCTATATGGACTCTGTTTTTTCTTTTTCTCCGATTAATGTGAGAATTTCTAGGCCATGAGAGCGAACGTGGAGGCTCCTTTTTCTATTCCTTTAATAATATATATACTTTTAATTGTATTATGTTTATTCCAAATTTTAGTTAGTTTTAAATTCCTATATGGATTATATATTCTACATCTAATATTCCTTATTTTTTAGTTCAGAATTTCTATTTTTTTCTTAAATGTATTTCTATATGGACTCTATACTCTACTTCTAATATTTCTTATTTTAATTCTAAATTTCTATTATTTCCTAATTATATTTCTATATGAACTCTATACTTTACTTGTAATATTCCTTATTTTTAATTCCGAATTTCAGTTATTTCCTAATTATATTTCTATATGGACTCTAGTCTCCTCTTCTAATATTCCTTATTTTTTGATTCCGAATTTCAGCTATTTCTAAATTGTATTTCTATATGGACTCTAGTTTCCTCTTCTAATATTCCTTATTTTTTAATTCTGAATTTCAGCTATTTCTAAATTGTACTACCTCTGTTTTTTAAATAGATGACGCCGTTGATTTTTTCTCACATGTTTGACCATTCGTCTTATTCAAAAATTTTACGCAATATGGACTTTGTTTTTTATTTTTCTCCGATTAATGTGAGAATTTCTAGGCCATGAGAGCGAACGTGGAGGCTACTTTTTCTATTCCTTTAATACTATATATACTTTTAATTTTATTATGTTTATGCCAAATTTTAGTTAGTTTTAAATTCCTATATGGACTCTATACCCTACTTCTAATATTCCTTATTTTTTAATTCCGAATTTCTATTTTTTTCTTAATTGTATTTCTATATGGACTCTATACTCTACTTCTAATATTCCTTAATTTTTAATTCCGAATTTCTATTATTTCCTAATTGTATTTACTCTATACTCTACTTCTAATATTCTTTATTTTTAATTCCGAATTTCAGTTATTTACTAATTGTATTTCTATATAGACTCTGGTCTCCTCTTCTAATATTCCTTATTTTTAATTCCGAATTTCAGTTATTTTCTAATTGTATTTCTATATGGACTCTAGTCTCCTCTTCTAATATTCCTTATTTTTTAATTCTGAATTTCAACTATTTCTAAATTGTATTTCTATATGGACTATAGTCTCCTCTTCTAATATTCCTTATTTTTTAATTCCGAATTTCAGCTATTTCTAAATTGTATTTCGATATGGACTCTGCCTTTTCTTTTTCTCCGATTAATGTGAGAATTTTTAGACCATGAGAGCGAACGTGGATGCTTCTTTTTCTATTCCTTTAATTATATAATAGATTTGACAACAAACTAAATATAGACATATTTTTGACAACTATGCTAAAAAAATAGTATGGTTGAAAATGGCATCAACCTAAACAGCCCCTAAAATGAAAGAAACCATCAATTAGATTTGTATAATAACATGGATCCACGTGGAAAAATAATGAAGTTCGGATTGAAAAATAGAAATTGTCAAGTGGTGCGACGTGGTGAATGTTATGATCCAAGAGGTCACAAATAAAATAGGGATAAACAAGGAGATGGTTTTCCTACCTATCCTAGTTGTAAGGTGAATCTGATATGCTCCAAATGGCTCTCATTGTCACTATTTTCGATAAAATGTAATCTATATTGCTACAGTATCTGGTGTCTTTAATTTATGATAAGTACATGTGAAGTTAGATTGATGCCGTTGTGGGACTGTAAACCCTAATAGTATAATAGCACAGATCACCTTCCTATGATGTAAGAGTGGTTGGAATGGCTCCTAGCATATTCTAAGAGAATATTCCTTTCAGTTAGCGTGGGCACCAAGCTTCATCTCCATCTTTCATGTACCACTAGCCACTCTACCGCAAGCTCTAAATGTTCCCAACAAGGGCAACTTGGTTTAATCCTGGGCACCTACTAGGAAACTTGTATTAGCTTTAAGTCGGGACATGTCGGCCAATGACTTAGGTCATGTCTTGGTCGGATAGGAGGTGCGTTGTCTGCCTCCAAGGTTGTCAGTATCGGAATACGTATTCTAGGATCGTTTTCGACTGGTATCACACTAGTATCGGGATATATAGCGTAGTATCATTAGAATCACTCTAGGAACAAGATACTAACTGTTTCCAACTAGACATTATTTGAATTCAAAAATCAAAACTATATGAATGCATTTGTGTTCATATCTTCGAAATCAATGTTAAATAAAACTATTAGCATTAGTAGGTACTTCTTGACAAATCTATCCTTATGTTATTTATTATTATCAATCTAGATCAGCTCTATATAATTAATATAAATATTAAATTAAACTTTTAAAAGAAAATATCATAATATCCCGATAACATAATCCTACTACTTTAGATAAATATACTACCTAAAATATCAGATACTAACAATCTTGCATGTCCCTGCTACAATAGCATGCGTGAATATTTTCTCTGTTAACTTCAAGGTCAAGCCCTCGCCTATTGATTCCTATTTTTGCTAGCCCACTTGAAAATAAATGGTGGAACCAATGGTTATTATGGTTCTTCTATCATACTCCTCAAAATATAGATCAATGTAACATTTTCTAGTACTATAAATCTGAATAAAGATTATCTATTAAAAATCTCTTATATTTTAGTACGGAGTGAGTAAGAACCTGCCGGATATCAGGTTCCATTGCACGAAGCAAGACATCGTGTACAACGAACGCCTATATATGGGTGGTCCAGTTCAATATAGCAGTGACAATATCAAACTTGATCTCTAAATGCTAGGTGGCCTCGAGATTAGTATGCAAGAACTCGTTAAGTACTTTTACACGTCGTAGCATTTTGAACCATTGAGGTTATCTGATGATACTACCGTATCACCGGTTCAAAGCTTAGAAATTGTTACCGCGCATTGTCCGAAAAGTTCTTAAATTCACAACGAGGTAATTAAGTTAGTGTAACGCGCAAAAAGAATTGTCTGATGAAAAAAATGGGGGAAAAAAAAAGAAGAAAAGAGAGTTCTGGCTGGCTTGGGCTGTGGCCCAATATAGCTAAGCAAGTAGTAGTGCACGCACAGCAGCAGGCCGTCGGTCCTAGGTCAATGCAAGCAGCATCAGCAGTAGTAGTGCTCAGGTGCTTCGTAAGGTATACTCTCTCCGTCAAAAAAAGACAAACCCTGTTTTTTGTCCAATGTTTAACCGTTCGTCTTATTTAAAAAAATTATGAAAAAAATTAAAAAAAACAAGTCATGTATAAAATATTTATCATGTTTTATCATCTAATAACAATGAAAATACGAATTATAAAAAAAATTTCATATAAGACGGACAGTCAAAGTTGGACACGGAAACTCAGGGTTTGTCTTTTTTTTGGACGGGGGGAGTACAATGCACTGGACTAGTATGCAGGTTAATTAATTTCCCTAAAGTTTAGTGATGAGTCTGCTGTCAGGAACGTTTGCATTTGATCAACACAGTGCTGCAACTGATTAAAATGTAGCAGTAAAGTCAATGGACTTCTGAGTTAAAATCATCTTTACTTCTAGAGGATACAAATATCATATCCCCAGGCAGGTAGAATACATAGAAATATCGGAGCAATGCTCAACGCTTTGC